ACATGTACGGCCATGCCCCACCTCTACTTCAGGATTACAGACATGTAAAGTCGTATGTGGATTTTATAGGGGTGCTGACTATTGCATCTTGGGTCCTCTTGTTTTACACAGCACCCTCCTCAGTCTCAACCTTGTGTATTTGAGGTAGGGTCTTCCACTGCTCTGGGCCTTGTGGACTCAGCTGGTTGACTGGCTAGCAAGACCAGGGGCCCATCTGTCATTCCAAGCATGCACCAAGCTTTTTCACATGTGTTCTGGGGGTGGAATTCAGGTCCTCGTGCTTGCATGACAAACACTCATGGAGCGCTCTCTCTCTCTCTCTCTCTCTCTCTCTCTCTCTCTCTCTCTCTCCTCTCTCCTCTCTCTTCCTCTCTCTTTCTCTCTCTCTCTGTATCTATGATCTATGTATCCTAGGCTGTCCTCAAATTCATTACGTCACTCAGGGTGACCTTGAACTCCTGACTCTCCCCCAGTGCTGGGATAATATTCATATATCACCATAAATACATTTATGTGCTACTGGGATCAAACATGGGCTCTGTGTGTGCGTGTGTGTGTGTGTGTGTGTGTGTGTGTGTGTGTGTAGACAGGGCCTCATGCCACCCAGGCTATGCTCAGACCTTCTGTGTAACTGAGGGTGAACCCATGCTCTCCCTACCTCCAAGTCCCAGTTTTAGGATTTCAGGTGTGCATCACCACCTGTGGCTTGGGTGGGCTAAGACTGAACACAGGCCTAGGGAAGTACTACTGTTCCAACCGAGCCTCATCAGCTCCGGTGATGGGAAGGATTTCTAATGAGGACACTGCCACAGCTTTAAAGATGCTCATAGTGATCCAATTGGCAGAGGGCTCTTTGGATATGAGGAAACCATAATCGTAGGATCCAAAGAAAAGAGGCAGCTGAAGAGCCCACGTCAGGACCTGCTTGAGGCCAAAGAGACTAGGGCAAATCCAGTTTCCTTTTTCTTGTCCTCTCATTCTCTTGCCTGCCCCTTCCCCGAGGCACCTGCTTGCATTCTCCTCTGTGTTTCCACGAAGGAATTAAGCATTTTGGAAGGGACTACCGGGCCAGGCGCAGCCAGGCTGTTAAATCCTACTTTCAGAAAAGAAGGGGAGAACCAAAACCGTTCCCTCCTTCTAATAAAGTCCATTCCTCTGAAGCCAAAGAGCTCTTGGGACTTTCTTCCGGGTTGCTTCTCTCCAAGGATATTGCTTTGTTTTTATTTTTTGAGTAGGGATGGGTTCATCCACTAAACCAGTGTCTCCAGAGCTTGTATTTATAATCAGGCTCTGCTTCAAGGGTCAGGAAAACCAGTGGAGCGAAACGACCAAAGCCCTGCTTTCATACCTCAGTTAGTCCAAGGGGGAAATAAACCATAAACCAGGTAAGTAGCAAGGTCTGTGTGAGTGTATGCACACGCCTGGGCAAGCATGCGTGCTCGTGAGTGCGCATGTGTGGCGGTGGTGTTCAATGCTAGAGAGGAAATAAAGGGTGCAGAATACAGTGGCCGGGGAAGCCTCCTTGGGTAGCTGACATTTCAATAAAGACTTGAAGGTGAAGGATCAAAGAGTCTGACACAGAGAGAAACGGCAGGTGCATAGGTGGGAGAGCTGTCTGTGAGGTCACTGGAGCAGGAGAGCGGTCCCTGGCCCTCATCAGCTACAGCACTCTACACCTAGCCTGGGCAACACGGTAGGGCTGACCTTTAGGGTCTGGGTATGGGAGAACTGCCCCTGAGGATGTGAAAACAGGGGAACCGGCCCAGCCTCTTGCTCATAGCTACAGGGGATGAACGGGCCAGGGCAATGCTGGAGAGCTCACTCTGGTGGTGAAGACAGAGAAGAGCTGGTGGGTTAATCAACCCTGCAAACACCCAGGCCCAGGAACAGGGTTACCCACATCCACCTCACCTGTGATCTGCTGGAGCATGGGGGTGGGGGAGAGGTGTCAGTCCTGTGGACCCAGAACTGCAAGATCTCCATGACACGGGGCAGCTACAGGATGTCCAAGAAGAGTCCCAGTGAGGGCCCAGTGTTGATGGTGCGGCAGGGAACAGGGACCTTGAACCTCAGACCAATGATTCTTTACGATGAATGCCTGCATATAAAAATATACGGATAAAGAGATTTACTGCATGACTCGCTGTATCACACTGCAGATTCCATGACTTTCCCTTCTTCCCTTTTTTCCCCTTTTTCTTCTTTTTCTCTTAAATTTTATTTTGAATTATTTTGGGGTAGGGCAGGAGATGGGTGGGATCCAGAGGCATCATGTGAAAGACGCAAATAATAACAAATAAATTTTAAAAACACATTACTACTAAAGAGTAATTCCTTAGCAAACCTTTAAAGACCTGTTTCTTTAGCTTTGGGCTTTGCCTCCCCTTCATATTGCCCTGGATCGAACCTTACCCAGTTGTTCTTAACCTGCCTGGGGACACTTTAGAATTGTCTTTGTCCAGATGTCTCTCCAGGGAATGCTCATTTCTTGCCCAAGGATGAGTCCTGGGTGTTCAGGGGCTTCACCCAGTGCCAGGGCTGATAAGCTGCCTCCTGTGCAGGTGATCCTGAGCTTGAGAGAGAGCATGCTTAGTGCTTGCCCTCGCATTCTCCCAGCTGTTTCCTGCAGGCTCTGCGAGGCAGAACTCAGGCCTCCGGTGACTACTTGTCCAGATCGAAAGGTGTTTCCTGTGAGGCGGCGGCGGCCTTGGGTGCAGGTAGCCCTGCCAACCACATCAGCCTGCAGAAGCTGTGACGCTCCCTCTTGGCGTGCACACGTTGCTGGCTTCTGCGCTACACGTCGAACACCAGCTCTGTTGCCCAGGCCAGATGCCAAGTAAGACAATGTACATTAAACCTTAGTTCAGATTACAGAGAAAACGTCAAAAACCGTTAGCTATTCTTAGCTTCACCATCCAAAGCAATGGCTCTCTTTTTCATTTCAGCTGGCGACCTACCTTCCCAGAAGACCCACCTTGGCTTGCTTCATCTTAAACTCTGAGGCTCCCAGCCTTTATGCAAAGCCCAAGAGGGAGCACTTATTCATGTTTGTGAGGGATGTTTTAAGATGGGGATTCTTAAAATGTGGCTGTGGGATGATCAGCAGTGAGAGTGTTGCCTGGGGTCCGGTGAGTTAGGGAACCGCCTAGGACGAACTCTAGGGTATGGGCCAGCGCCTGTGTCTTCACGGGGCCCCTGTGTGGTTCTCAGGTGTGCTTGGCATTGAGAACCCCTGCTCTAACTAAGACTTAGTTTCCCGAGAGAAGCGGAGGAGCTCAGCTCCCACCCCTGACCAGCTGTGTTTGTAGACTCAGGTCACACTCATACACACACTGGGCTTTGGGAAACACCGCTCAGCTCTGCCATCATGGGTGACAGGCAGAGCACCTCAGAGCACAGCTTTAGAGCATAGATTCTCCTCCCCAGATCCACAGAGGACCGTCCTGAGCCGGTGGCCGGTGGAGAGCAACCTTCCTACCATCCCATTCCCCCCACCCCTCCCCGTAGAGATTTGCCTTGCTAATCTCCTTAGGGCTTAGACTAAGCATCTGTATCTTTTCTTTCCCTAGAGAAGATGAAGTTATGAAGTCATGGATAACTAAAACTGCCACGGCGCTCCCATTTTACCTGGACTTTAGAAAACACTCTTAGTCTAGATTCTCCTCCGCTGGGGTTTAATTCTTGTTCTGACAATCTATTTGTGGCTGCTTTAAAAAGTTATACGCAGTCTAAAATGCAGTTGCTAGGTTCATGGTGGACACCTCAACAGACAAGACAGAGGAGTGTCTGTTTGGGGCAGGGCATTTATGAGGCCCCACCCCACCCCTAGCAGAGGACTTCTTGGCAGTTAATGGCAGCTGAGGGAAGCAAACTTATTCTTCTACAGTGACATAGTCACTGGTAAGTTAACCACGCTCCAGTAAATTAAATCTATATTCACGTTCATGTAAGCAACACTAATTAAACTTACACGGTCATTAAAAAAGACAAACAAAGACATCAAAGTTGAAAGATGGCAGAGGGTCATGAGGAAGGAATGTGACCGACAGATGTGCATTAATGACCTGGTCAAAGAATAAAGTTTAAAAATACTTTTAGCAAACATAGGTTCACAAGGGAAAAGTATCCAGATTTCTTTAGTGTGAGTCTTCTGCAAACCTTAATAAGAAAACGGATACTGAAGAAGCAGTTAAGCTTGTGTGTTTTATGGTAGCGTGGATGGAGAGTGGACAGTGTGCAGCCATACAACTGGCTAAAAGGTATACGGTCTAGCGCTAGTAATCTGAGGGAACCAAACAGCTTGTTTTTGCCTAGATTCCTTACCTGCATCTGTAAAAATAAGGCTGTTTCCCTCCTCTGCGTGTGGGAGGTATCACTATGGCGAGCGCCTAAGACCTGTTTCAGGGCAGGGGGAGTGACCTGCCTGCGTCTGTTATTGTCTCAAATTCCTTTAGCTTGAGATATTCAGTGTGCCACGATCAGGTCCTGGTCCTGATCAGAGCCAATAAGAAATGGATATGTGAGGGACGGGTGAGATAGCTCTGTGGGTAAAGGCTCTAGGTTTGACCCCTAGAACCCATGCTACCAAACAAAACGAAGCAAAAAGCCAAAATGAAACAAAACCAAAATTGGGTGTGGTGGTCTAAATCTTTAATCCCAACTCTCTTATGGCAAGATTGGAAATAGAGACAGGAGAGTTACCTGGATCATAGGCAGAAACAAGAGAGACCATGCTCAAAAACAAGGTGGAAGAGACCTGACCCCTGACAACTGTCCTCTGACCTCCAGCATGCGTGCGTGGGCACATACTGTGTGTGCACACACGCACACCAAAACAAAGGCTAGTTAGCACAGGTACTGCACTCTCTTAGCCTCTATGATGCAGAGTGATCCTCAGAACTCAGCCCAGCCGCTCTCTGCTCATGAAACCTTGGCTGTGCCCACACTGGATGGTTGATAAGCCTTGGATGACATTGCCCGCTCCTGCGCTACTCTGCCCCCGACACTGTGAGTTTGGTCTGTCAAGTGCTCACAGGGTAGCCATAGAAGAACATGCACACTATCATTGCCTCCACGGTGATGATCCTTGCTGAGATAGAGCTGTGTGGGTGTGTCTCCTGGGATGAAGAGAGGACCTTATCTCCAGTTTCCCCAGCTGGATCTCACAATAGAATCTGACACAGTAAATGACCGGAGTGCTTTGAAAGGAAGCCATGATGGATCAGCACCAAGGCAGTCGCGGAGTCTTAACTGATTCTGTCAAAAAGAGAAGCTGATGTGCCAAGAGTGACACATCCTTAGCCTCAGGCCAGAAGGCGGCAGAGAAAACAACAAAAAAAAGGAAGTGAGGGATAAATGTCATCAAAGTTCTCAGTGAAACTGAGTTCAGAAAAAGCTCTGACCAAAACCAAAATGGAACCAACAGAATATGTTAATGGTCATTTTTAGTAAGTCACAAGAATTTGAAGAAAGGCTATTTTAATAAGTACAACAATTTCATTTTCCAGATGGTCTGAGAAATGGTTTCTTTTACATAGTCTCAGGTCAGCGTTTACCTCTCTTTCAGAAAGCAGTGTGGTTTCATCTTCAACAGCCTGTGGGAAAGAGAAACAAGTGAGTATCTTAAGGAGCTGCCAACAAGAGAAGACCACACTGGGTTGGGTGCCATTTGTGGGGACTCTCAACATGGTGTGCTCGGAGGGAGGTGAGTTTGGGTGCTGGAAGACAAATTCCCTAAGACCCTGGCCCACAAGAGGAATAGAAGCAGGACTGCAGGGAAAGTGTAGGAGCCACACACACCTCCGGAGTTCAGAGAGACTTTAGAGGTTCATATTTACAATGTGGCATTAGTTGTCACCAGAATGGCAGATTTCAGGCAACACGAACTGGGCACCATTCTTAGACGAAATGCCTCTCCATGTCTCTGCAGCTCCATTTTGAAGATTTCCCGTTTGCAATCCATCTGGCAATGCCTTGTCAACTGAGGTGATGCGACAGTGAGGTTTGAGTAGGAAGCAGGTCCTTGGAGAACTAATGGGGGGAGGTCATTCGGTCACTGGTGGGTGTAAAGAAATGATGGAGCGTGGACGCCAGTCTGCTCCTTTCTCTTCTAGGTTAGTGATTCTCACTCAGGGACAGTTTTACTCTCGGGACATTTGGTAACGTCAGGAGTCACACTGGAAGACAGGAATGGGGCTGCTATTGGCAGCGAGTGTCTGAAGATGAGAGATGCTGTTAAACATCCCATAATGTGCAGGACTGGCCTTTACAGCAAGTAATGCATGGCCTCTGCGCCAAAGCCCTGCTCTATGGTATTTCTTTTCACGGCAGATCACCTGACCACCCAGGAGGTCACCTGACCACCCAGGAGGTCACCTGACCACCCAGGCCGGCAAGTGCAATGATCAGCAGTGATGTTCTCAAAGCGTGCTGCAGTCAGAATCCCGTATACACTGTTTATCATACACCTGGCTCTTCCTTCATGAGTAATGCGCCCCCGTGTTGGCAGTGCATTTAACAGACTGGGTTCTAGATCTGCAGCTCTGAAATTAGAGCAGCCAACCATCTCCTTCAGAAACGTGAATGCTGGCGGACTGTCGCTAGAACTGTGGGTCCAGTCTCCAGGTGCCGAGTGAAGTTCCGGAGTGGCCAGCGCACTGCCCAAATCCCTGCTCTCTGGGCCTAGCTGTTTTCCAATTGCTCTTAGCTTCCCCTCTGGGCACCTTCAGATTCTTTCCCTTATGATCTTTTGGTCCTGTGTCCTACAGGCCCCCAAACCATCTTCTCCCCTTTTCCTTTCTGCAGATCCCCATGTTTTCTGCTTTCCTGAGTGACGTTCACCGCTTTTGATGATGCTGCAGCCACAGGCAGCAGGCTGGTGTGATGATAGCGCTTCGCCTTCTAGGCTGGTGCCAGCCACTGTGCCCGGGCAGATGGTGAAGCCAGGGTGTCGCGAGTCCTCCGCCTCCCGCCCAGTGTGCACATTTGGTCCAAGCATTGCTTGTCTCTGGTAGGAACTCCTGACATGTCTCTACTTCTCCTGAAGCCTGTCTATTCTCTCAGAGGAAGAAACTTTGCTCCCCAAAGTTTCCTCCTCCGTCCTGATTTTGTTTTCTTTTAGCACCTCACGCATTAGCTGTCCCCTATCCCTTTGCCCCTTCTTCTTCCTTCAGATGAGTTCTCCTCACCCTGGTCCACCAGCATCTTCTGCCTCCTTTTCCTTGGCTTCACTGTCCCAAAGAGCAGTTCCCTCTGCCCACCTCTTGCACTCTCTGGCTTGCTCTTGGCCTGTCCAGTCATCCTCCTGTGGTCCAGCTCTCTTACAAAACTCTTTGCCTCTGATGAGGTTTGTCTGTGTGTCTTGGGTGCCCTGAGCCTTCTGAGAGGACAGCGCTTGTCTCTCCTGCATTATGCCTTGGACAGCACCTTGCAGAGAACAGGTGATTGTGAACATCTCACAAATACCAGGTGTTAAACGCCACTCAGGGGCCTGGGAAATGGCGGAGCCAGGGCTCCTAGGGAAATTCCTTTGTAATGCAGCTCTAGTCAACAGAGTGACGACACATTATTGGCAAATGTAGAGCAGTGATCACCTCATGGAAATACCCTAGTTCACCAGGGACTGAGACTCAAAGTCACTAACTTCATATCTAAGTGACATTTACCTCTTCGCTGTAACCGAGCCTCTGAGAAACAGAAGCACATGACTGCGAGCTAGGGGATTCAATTCCTGTTTTCCCTTCCTGTTT